ACTTACCAGGATGAGGAATAGACAAGCAAAGGATACGAGGTGTTCCTAGCAGTAGGGGCAGAAGGGCAAGAAGGAAAGAGCTACAGGTAATATAAAAGCAACGGACAGCATTAGTACTTGGGAAACTACCGGGAGTTCAAAGTATCTGAAACACGGTGGGAGCGAGGTGTATGTGTGCACAGGCACATGTGTGTCTGTATATGAGTGTGAGTGTAGTGGCCATGGTTGCGACAATGAAAGTAGTTAGCTGTAAGAAAGAAAAATAACCTTAGTCTATATTGTGGATGGTCATATACAGCAGAATAAAATACATATACAAATCATATTTAACAGTAGATAAGCGTATCCATTAAAATCAGAAAAAAAGGTATTATTTGCTATCATCAAATTATTAAATGTTGCTTAAAAACAGAGAAATAATACAAAAAATTTCAAAATAATAAATAATACAGAAATGAAGAGACAAAATTGTTAATGTTTGCAGATACAGTTACAGGTCTACAAAAGAATCAATGTTTTGGGTCGCTTAATCTCAAAGATGATGGTATTAGGAAGTGGGCCTCTGTGAGGTCATGACAGAACTCATAAATTAAATTAGTGCACTTATAGAAGAGTCCTCAGAGAGTTCCTTTGGCCCCTCTACTATGTGACAATACAGGGAAAAGACATCTATGAACTATGAAGAGGAACCTCTCTAGACACCGAATTTGCCAGCACCTTGAACTTAAACATCTGGCCTTCAGAACTGTGAGAAATAAATTTCTATTGTTTATAAGCTACTCAGTTTATGATATTTTATTGTAGCCGCCCAAAGGAACTAAGGCAAATCCCATTTACAAGAGCATCAAAAAGAGTAAGTTACTTTAGGAATAAACTTAACAAATCAAGTGAAAGATTTATACACTGAAAACTATAAAACGTTGCAGAAAGAAATTAAAGGAGACACAAATAAATGGAAACACATCCCATGTTCATGCACTGGAAGATTTAATATTGTTAAGATGTCAATACTGCAAAGTAAGCTAAAGATACAATGCAATCCTTATCAAAATCCTACAGCATTTTTGCAGAAACAGAAAAAAAAATCTTAAAATTTGTACAGAAACCATCAAGAGTCCCAAATAGCAGAAACAATCTTGAGAAAGCAAAAAGCTGAGGGCTTCATACTTCCTGACTTCAAAATGCATTCTAAAACTTCAGTAATTAAAACAGTTTGGTACTGGCATAAACACATATAGACTAATGGAACAGAACAGAGAGGCCAGATAATAAAACCATATAAATATGGTCAAATAATCTTTGACAAGGGTGCCATGACTAACACAATGTGGAAGGATAGGCTCTTTAGCAAATGGTGTGGGAAAATTGGGTATCAACATGCAAAAGAATAAAACTGGAGCCTTATTTTACACCACACACAAAACCAACTCAAAATGGATCAAAGAATAAATGTAAGACCTGAAACTACAAACTCCTAGGAAAAAAACACAGGAGAAAAGCTTCATATCTTAGTCCTTAGAAATGATTTCTTAATGATAACAAAAGCAGTAAGGGATGAGTAGAACTACATCAAAATAAAGCTTCTGCACAGCAAACAACAGAATGAAACAGCAAACTACAGGATGAGAGGATGTATTTGCAAACCATATGTCTGATAAGGCATTAACAATCAAAATGTATAAGAAACTCCTACAACTCAATAGCAAAAACAAAAAACACACAATTAAAAACTTGGCAAAAGACTTGAATAGACATTTCTTCAAAGAAGACATATGAATGACATCGGTATTTGAAAAATGCTGAGCATTACTAAATATCAGGGAAGTGTGAATCGAAACCACAATGAAACATCACCTCACACCTGCCAGGATGGCCGTTATCTTTAAAAAAAAAACAACAGAAAAGAAAAATAAGTGTCAGCAAGGATAGGAAGAAATTAGAACCTTGTGCATTATTGTTGGAAATGTAAAATAATGTGGCTGCTATAGAAAACAGTATGGAGATTCTTAAAAAAATTAAAAATAGAACTACCATATGAGCCAGCAATCACACTTCTGGATACTTATTCAAACAAAGTGAAATGAGGAACTTAAATAAATATTTGCCCTCTCATGGTCGTTGTTGCATTATTCACAATAGCCAAGAGGTAGAAACAACCTAAATATCCATCAGCAGATGAATGGATAAAATGAATGTACTGCCCAGGCATGTGGCTCATGCCTGTAATTCCAGCCAAGGTGGGTTGCTTGAGGCCAGGAGTTCCAGGCAAGCCCTGGCAACATGGAGAAACCATGTCTCTACCAAAAAAAATTTTTTTAATTAGTTGCATGTGTGCCTGTAGTCCCAGCTATGGGGGAAGCTAAGCTGGGAGGATCCCCTGGGCCTGAGTTCTAGGCTGAAGTAAGCCACAATCACACCACCGCACTCCAGCGTGGGTGACAGAGCAAGACCCTGGCTCAGAAAAATGAACAAATGCAAATGTATTATATACATACACTGGAGTATTAGCCACCCTTAAAAAAAGAAGAAAATCCTCTAATACGGTACAACATGGATAAACTTTGAAGACATTATACTAAGAGAAATACGACAGTAACAGGACACACAATGTATGATTCCACTTATGTGACCTGTCTAAAGTAGCTGAATTCACAGAAGCAGAAAGTAGAATGGTGGTTTCTAGGGGCAGGGGACAGGGGAGTGGAAAGTGCTATTCAATGGGAACAGGTTCAGTCATGCCAGATGACTAAGTTCTAGAGATCTGCTATACAACAATATGCACACATAGTTAACAGTACTCTATCATATCCTTAAAAATGTAATGACAAAGTTCTAGAGATCTGCTATACAACAATATGCACACATAGTTAACAATACTCTATCATATCCTTTAAAATGTAAGAGAATTTCATATCATGTAATTTTTTACCTTTTTTAAAAAGAACGCACGAATATAACTAAGAACATTTTTATTTAAAAATAAGGGAAATGTTGCTATATTAGCAGATAAAAATTTTATCAAATTTCTCTAATTAAAGCCATGTGGTGTTAATGCTAGAATACAGAAAAGTCAAAGGGGAAAAAAAAAGACTAAATCCTAAAAACCCAAATATGTATGTGTGTTATCCACAAATAGTGGGGGGAAAATGGACTATCAAATAAATGAAGGTGATACGACGGGCTCCCCATTGAGAAAAACAGAGTCCAGCCTTATTTCATGAACTGAGATAAACAGAAGATAGGTAAGAGACATTTAGTTTACGACAGGTAAAAATTGTAGACTGGGCAGAAAGTTAAAAAAAAAAAAAAAAAAAGTTTGTCTAACTCTCACTAACCCTCTCTAAGTCTTCAATGATATTACACTGAAGTCATACAGAATTTCCAAACACCAGATTCTACAGGTATTCAGAAATGCACATACCAATGGCAAATATAAGTATGCTGTTTTTCATTTTAAGAATACTGTTTTTTTCTTATACTCATAAATACAAATGAAAACTAGCTGTTCAGAAGAGTATGTTATTACAGGAATAGCAAAGGGTTTTAGAGTCTTAAGATCTGACATAAATCCAGCTTTGTAAACACAAATGGCAAAATGAATTGTACTTCAATAGATGTTATAAATCCACTAATAATATTTTCAAAGAATATATACTGACATGGGAAAAGTTCTATTAATCTAGCCAGACAATAAATACTGTGTTGGGCCATGGACTATATGCTAAAGATTTTTAAAATGAGTGAGGAAGCCATGATCTTTGCTGTCAAGAATCTGAAAGTTTAGTGAGAAACGCAAGGAAGGATTACAGTTATAAAATATACTTGATAGAAAGGTACAAAGAAATATGTAAGTATATAGCAGGGGAGCCTGACTAGTCTATAAGAGTCAGAGGTTTTGTAGGAAAAATGACATTTGAAGCTCAGATCTGAAAAGATACATAGGAATTAGCCCACCTTAATGTTTATGGGCCAAGCGGCGGAGACACGAACAAACTGAAAGGCTCAGTATTATCAGGGAAGAAGAGGCCCAGGAGAGGTGGGGCTGAGGGAAGGGTGGGCAGGCGGGGAAGGACAGGAGCTCGGGGATCCACATCCGGAACTGTATATATACTAAAAGCCTAAATGTATCTGCATACTTTTGGAAGTATACAAAAGAATATAACAGTGCTTAACTCTTTTCTACGTTTCTTATTCATACACTATCATTTACTCTATTATCAAAAGTGTTATTAAAATAATACTTTACCATTTTGCTTTTACTAAAATTTTAGACAAGACTGTTAAAAATTTATTCATTTGGAACATAAGGCTAATAAGATTTAACTTCACGAAGTTGCTGATTAGGATCAATTTAGTAACATGGGCGGGATGATGATTTTGTGACTGTGGTCTCTGAACTTAACTCAGTATCAAAGTGAGCAGATATAGAATTGGGAAGTGGTTGTAAAAGTTGATCGATCAGGAGGATAAAACGTGGACCTGATACAGCTGGTGAGTTAGTTACTACAGTGACAGTGTTGTCACTACCCTCTTTAAAAACGACAGTCAGTGCTAATTAATCCTCCTTCCTGCTCCTAAGACCCAATCTCAGAAACCTTAGCAACACAGTGCTCCAGGCAGCCACTTGCAATTAACCTAGAATACATGCTGCTTGCCATCTTTTGCTATCACTAGCCTCAGAATTTCAAGTATGAATAGAATCAATTCTACAATTTTAAAAAAAGGTAGTCGGCTATAAAAATGTCTTTTTAAATTTGTATTTTGACCTTTAAACGTTCTGTCTCTCTAAAGAAGTATATCTTCTAGCATGTCCAGAGATTCCGATTTATTAAGTATTATTTTGTAAGCCATTGTTATTCATGTGTTATACCAGAAACAAGAATTTAGAGACTAGAGCATTTAAAAATATATTGATGTATATTTACAAATAATGAAGTAGGATACAAATATGTCTTTAGACTGATTCCTTTTTCACAAAATGGGAAAAATCCATTTCTTACCTTTCCTCTGGAGTATCTACATGAAATGTTCTTTCTATAACAGTGGTCCACTGGAGACATCTGATTATAAATGTGTTTGGCTTTGGTCGTTCTGTTTTCATTAACTGGCATTCTAGGAATAAAATAAAATGTTTCTTTAAGTAGGCATTTATTTGAACCAAGAAGTAAATACTTCAGAAATACAGAGTTCTATTTTAAACAAAATCCACTGCAAACTCACAGCTTTCTATGGATCTCCACTCAGGATTATTCACAACCTGACCTTAGTATTTCTTTCCAATCCTTCAGCCATTCTGGCCACATTAACCACCTCAAATGGACTATGTAAATTTCCCCAAACACATCTTACTTTTACCAAAGGCATAAATATGCCTTTGTTTCAGCTGTTCTCATTATCTGAAATACCGTCCCCACTTACTCTACCTCTTCATATGTATCACCTGCAGTCAAAATAACACTGATCCTTGCAGGTCCAGATCAAATACTACTCCTTCCATGAAACCTTCCATAACACCCAGTCCCAGGCTGACCATTTCATCCTCTATATTGTCATTACTTATTACCATATCCCTCATTTGTCACTTACCATAGACTATCTTACAGGATTACTTATCATTTTAAGAAAATGGCAAATGTCGCTTATCCTTACCTAGATTACAAGCCTCTTGACAATATAAACTGCCTGTAACTCGTAGTATCCACAGCCTGGAGAGCCAGTCAGTCTAAAATGTGATTAAATTCTGTTCGTGAATAACTAGGAAAATGTCAAAAGAACACGTGCATAGTGTAGTGCCTAAAAGTATGGATTCTGACACTGGTGTGCCTGGATTCAATTATTTTTTCATACTATTAACCATACAAACTTGGACGAATTGATTAAACTCTCTGGTCTTCAACAGTTAAGTGACAAACAGTAACAGTATCTACATCATAGAATTGATGTGGGAATAATAAACTCATGTAATATTAGCATAATATGAAATATGTAAGCTTTCAATAAACATTAACTATTATTGGGTATACATCTGAGCTGCACTTTAAAGGATTATGTGGTATTGGACACCAAGAGAAAACAGGGTAGGGTTGTCTGCTGACTCTGCTCTTTTGGAAGAAACTAATTTTTCTCAGTTGAAAAATTCAAGTCTTTTCTCGGTGTTTATCTGCTGTGTCTTATCTCCATCATTACCAACTATCAACTACCTTTTCTATGTCTTTATAGTTCCAAGTCATTAGCTGCCTTTTTTTTTTTGGAGACAGAGTCTCACTCTGCCGCCCAGGCTGGGGTGCAATGGCACAATCCTGGCTCACTGTAACCTCCACCTCCCAGGTTCAAGTGATTCTCATGCCTCCTCCACCAGAGTAGCTGAGATTATAGGCATGCACCACCACACCCAGCTAATTTTTCTATTTTTAGTAGAAACAGCGTTTCACCATGTTGGCCAGGCTGGTCTTGAACTCCCGAACTCAAGTGATCCACCTGCCTCGGCCTCTCAATGTTCTAGGATAACAGGCTTGACCCACTGTGCCTGGCCCCAGATTAGCTCTTTATTGGCCCTTTACACTGAGAGAAATCATTCAACCAAGGATCTCTGCTTAGTTTTTCTTTTCTAACAAGTTTTCATGTTTTCAGCAATCATCTCTCAGTTTACCAAAATCAAAATCCAAACTTTTTCACCTTGGAGTTCTACTTTAAGACACACACGTCTTAACACATAGTGAATTTACCTGGTTGAATTACTGAACCACCTCTGAAACCAAACTCAGTATCTTTCCCCTAAAATTCACTCCTCCTCCTGGCTGTCATAATTTTCCCACCACCCAGACTGAAACATGAAGTGATCTTCCTTTTTGAGATTGGTGCCATTTGCAATTACCAGTGCTCCTCGAATTATGACTGTGTTACAGCCCAATAAACCCACTGTAAGTCAAAATTATTGTAAGGCAAAATGCATTTAATACACCTAGACTACCAAACATCATAGGTTAGCCTAGCCAACTTTAAACATGCCCAGAACACTTACATTCGCCTAGAGTTGGACAAAAGAGTCTAACACAAAGCCTGTTTTGCAGTAGAGTGTTGAATACTACACATAGATGGGTGTTTTGTTGACATGATGAGGTGTGAAAACACAAAACATAAGAGCATCCAGAAAAATGCTGGCAACACAGTACACTGTAGAGTATCTACTGTGCGTGCTGTGATCACATGGTTGGCTGGGATCTGTGATTTGCTGCTGCTGCCCAGCATCACTAGGGAGTATCATACAGCAAATAACTAGCCCAGGAAAAGACAAAACTCCAACATTTGAAATACAGTTTCTATTGAGCGTGTACTGCTATTAGGACCATGGCAAAGTAAAAAAACATCATTACATTGCACTATTGTAAATGGGAGACCATTCATAACTGGTTTTTCCACTTTTGCAATTCTCCTTTAGATTCTCAGTACCCAATGCCTAAACCTTCCAGCTGCCCTAAGACCAGATTCTTCCTATTTGGAGATGTTGAGAGACTATGTAAGTTAAAGACAGAAACTGCTCTGGGAGACATCTGAACATGTCCAAAAGTAAACTCCTGACCTCTCTCAACCCTCCTCCTCCTCCTGCCAACCTCTACTATGGCTTTCTCTATCTCAGATAATGACAACTCCAATCTTTAAATTGCCCACGCTGAAAACCCGACAATCACCTTGGAGTCCTCTCTTCTCTGACATCACATTTACTCCTTCTGCAAATCCTGGTGCCTCCACTGTAAAAACATAACCAGTTTCTGATCACTTCTCACCATCTCCACAACCTCAGACTAAGCCATCATTATCTCTCACCTGATGATTCCAAAAACCTTAGAACAGCTTTCCCTTGCCCCTAACTGCAGTCTGTTCTCAACACAGAGCCAGAAATCTTCTTAAAATGAAGATCTGCAACAAAGTTCTGCAGTGTTTCTCTTCACTAAGAACAGAAGACTAAGGCCTTTAAGTGATTGATCAACAGGTGTCCTATGTAATCTGACCCTCCCAGCAACCCCACTGAAGTTTCCCACCTACTTCCCTAGTATTCTCTTTCAGGCTACTCTGCCAGCCACCCTGGCTTCCCTGCATTTCCTCAACAATGCACTACACTCTTTCTGCTTTAGAGCTCTCGTTAAGCTGTGCCCTCTGCCTAGCATTGTTTCCCTCTCACACATCCACACAGCTGTCTACTTTAAACATCCCATTTAATATTGCAATCTGCACCCCTTACCAGGACTTTCCCTCTATCTTATCTGCTCTACTTTTTATTTTCCATAGAATGTTACCATTTTCTAATATTGGTGATGAATTTTTTTGTATCTTTTTTGCTTGTCTTTTCAACAAACTGTAAACTCCACTCACATATTCTTAGCACTTAGAACTAGGCCTGACACATAGTACTCAATACATATTTTCCAAATGAATGAATTCTGATAGTAATAATCCAACAAAGAAGGTAATTTTGATGATACTAAAAGATAATTTCTGGAGCAATCTTCCTGTGTAAGCAAGAAAGGATTAAATTTACTGGACTAGTAAAGAGATAGCTCTAATCTGGAGTATAAACAGTTTAGTGATGAAATCAGAGAGAAGATATAAGGGGCCAAATGCAATTAGGAGTATAGAAGCAAGGAGAAACTGATAGAAATTATTTTCTCGATGATTCTGTTTTGTCAATGAATTAGGATGTAAGGCCATCAGAAATAAGGTTGCAAAAGGATCCATTGGGCTCTGAAAAAAAAAAAAATATATATATATATATATATATATATATATATATATATATATATATATATATATGAAACAGTACTCTGGGAAAATGGAAGTACAAACAGACTAGGGAAATATGCCATGACTGCTGAGCAGCATTAAGGACCAATCTGAATTTAATAATGAAGAATTTAAAGTAATAACAGAGATCATGATTGTCTATTTTCTCCCAGATATATTCAGCTGCAGGCGTACAGGTGAGGAACATAAAGAAATGAATTTAAGCAAGGGTTTATTTTAACCAAGTCAGTCTGTCAAAGCAAGAAAACAGAAAAGAATAGAGGAAGCAGGGCAAGGGAGTAATTAAGATAATCCACTAAGGAATTTTAAATGGGTATGGAGGAAGTGAGAACCTGCGGATGTATAAGATAACGGAAAGGTGGTAGAATCAATAGGTCATAAATTCTAATATAACACAATTAAACTTTGTATAGCAGTGTTACATATTTTTTAAATATGAAAGTTAAAAATATAGTACTCCATTAAAAAATAATAAAAATACTGTTCATTTGAAAGATATAAGTTTTGAAATATCAGACATTATACTAATTTATACTAACAAAGAGCCAACCAATTCCTGTGACTGACTCTGCCCATCAGTCTGATTCTCTTTGAAGCCCACTGTTCCTCCCCATATCTTTCTTTTTGAAGCTCCTATTAAATTTCCAGCCAGTGGTTCACTACATTGTCCTACACGTGTTTAACAGATGTTAGTTTGGTCTTCTGGCTATATTACTTAAAAGAAATTATGTGCACAATTCTTCTTACAGCACATAGGAGTATACAATAAATACTTGATTACTGGGCAACTGATTGATTGGCTTTCAAGTAAACAATGGAGGACAGACACTTCAAAGAGGGGCAGGCCCAAGAGAAATACTCAAGAATAAACTATGGGGCACAGAGAAATACAGCAAGGAAGCAAAGAAAGAATGCCCAGTCTGAGGTTCACTATTTCAGTTTTACTTCAGGTTCCCATGACGGTGACAGAAGGTAATTAAGATAATGGACTTTGAAATCAGAGTAAGAAATTCAAATTCAGGCTCTAATACAATCAGCAGTGATCCTCTTCAAAGTATTTTGTACCTAAGCCCTCAGGTTCATCATCTTTAAAAGCGCTATTATGAATTAACTATTTTCAACACTATACCTAAATGAAGTTTAAATGCTATAATTTAAAAGAACTTTTCAACACTAGAATTTTAGAAGCTACTTAAAATACTATGTTGTCAGATTCCAAATATTAATTGCTATAATTTATAAGCCCACGAAAAACAACGATAAAAGATATTACTTTAACGACTATTCTCAGGCAGATCACTGAAAAGGAATGA